TTAGAAGCTTACAGCAAGGTGCTATTTGCAGTAAATATCGTCCAAGCCAACGTGAAAGAAACTACTTTATTTTCTTTCACTTGTTGAAATATGGTCAGCATGCTATCAGAGGAATTTCACATATTTCTGCCCAAAATATTTGTTGTGGTGTGTTTTATTCATGCCATATTGTTTATATATATGTTACACGAACCAAAATAAATTTCATAATGATGTGATATCAATATACCTCTGCTTCATTGCAGTGCCATATGATCTCCTCAAGGTCAACCTCATCCTTGCGAAGTTCATTGAGTCTTGTCTCCATGTTGCTAATCCAGTCGATGACCTTGTTTGTGTTGACACTGAATCCTGCCCACTGTAGCAGACCATGCTCTAGAGCCACCTGTACAACAGTAAGTAAATGGTAATGCACGCCAGCGACGTAGATTAAGTTCCATTATGAAATCTCTGGGCCTGTTTAGATCATCTGTAAGTTGGATTTCCCAGACATATAGTGAGGAGGAAGAGATGGTGAGAGGGACGGAGCAAGAAAGACAAGGAGACAGAAGGAGTGCGCAAGCGAGGGGACGAGAGAGATAAAGATTGTTGAATGTTTTACAAAAATCACCTTTTTCTCAATAATGGTGCTGCAGTAAGTAGACCACATTGTCTTTAGGTCGGCTAGTTCTTTCTGGATGATCTCCTGGCCATCATGAGTTGTATTCGTGATGACCTTGTCACCCTGACTGACGGTGTCGTTAACCGCATCCTGAAGGGAAGGCTTATCCTGCTCCAAAGCCTGAGGGAAAAAATATCCGTAAAGTATGAGACTGAGAATACATAGGTATCACCGTAGCAGAACTCCAAACAACTAACCTTCTTTCTAACTGTAGCCGTAATTTACTTCAAGGTAAGACAAGTCTTAACAACAGACAAAGTAAATCAACTGCAAACTACCCTGTAAGAAAATTCTGTTAAATCCTGTAATCTGTAAAGTATCCTCTATCTTTATAAAAATAAAGTTTATCTCAGTTAGATCCATAATAAGTTATAATTACTTACAACGACGAACTTTTCGTCCATCTCTCCGATAAGACTTCCTCAGGTCTGATGTTTCGTCGTTGTAAGTAATTATAACTTATTATGGATCTAACTGAGATAAACTTTATTTTTATGGGAACTACAGAGATCCAATGAAATTATTCAATTATCCTGTACCTTGTACGTGACAGCAGGCAACGACGAGTCCAAACCTACCTCAACTACTAACAACTTCTCCTGTAGCGTGTCTTTGCCTCCCGTGACATCCTTGCTCTTAGCGAGCTGATCTACTGCTGACTGCAGTGCTTGCCGGCACGCAGCGAACGTCACGTGGTAGGCATCGTGTTCGCCTGCTTGCGTCTCACTCGTCTGCAGTAGCTGCTGGGCTGTGTCCGTCAGCTTCTCATAATGAGTGCTGACGCGAGTCATCTACCAAACAAGAGTCACATTTATATTTAATTGTTTGCAGGTCATCCACATTCTCGACGAAAACAATACAGCATTGAAACAGTCCTATTTAGCATCCTTAGTCCTGCATTATTACATCCTATTTAGTCCTATTTTATTTCCTATTTAGTAGAGAATCAACATCTAGTGAGTATCATGGATCAAGGGAGATTTTGAAATTTTTAACAAGACAATGATGTATTGCTTTGGATTTAGTTAATATTACAGGGCTGAGCGGGATTGAACAGAAATGAATCGTTCTCTAAAATATTACCAGTTTGCAAGATTTACATAATTGTTACACTGCATCAGATTCACAGCAGAAACAGAAGTCAGTGAAGAGGGAACATAAATGAGAGAAGTGAAAACTGATAACATATACCTGTGTCGTAACCGTTCGTTCCTCGGGGAAGGCGCCTGCAGCATTCTTAACCTCAGCCAATTGCTCAGCTTGTTGCTCGATTTTGTTTATCGCATTGTGCAGTGTTGTTACGAGCTGTTTCTTTTCCTCCAGCGTAGATGGCAACTCGCCCCACTTGCTGGCATTCAATTCCTGGCTTGCCAACCACTGACTGAATGCCTCGTATATTGTGGTAAAGGTAACCCACTGCTGTTTTCTCAATTCTGGAATGCCACATCAATTACAAATAATCATCAGCGCCACAATGTACGTCTTATACGGTTCCTTACCTTGAACTTCTCCAGGTAAGCTTCCTTGCTGCTGAGGTGGGACTGCATTTCAAGCGGGGCCTGTATGGTAACTGTCGTGTGCTGCAGCCATGCAGTAAGAACATCGCACCTCAGCTGTATCTCATGCCACGTAATCAAGCCAGACTGCAGGTCTGACTCGGCTACAGCCAGCTTGAAGCGATAATCGATCAGGCCCTGCTCGAAACGGTTGATGTCAGCAGTAAGACTGTCGCGTCCCTTCTCCGTCGTCCTGGGTGCCAGCGTCTCACTCTCAGACTTGACAACATCTAGCTTGGCATTGCCATCTACGATCTTCTCTGTGAGTTCCTGTGGAAGTCATAATAATACAACACACTGAAATGTACGTATAGAACATATGAGAACTGACTTAACTTCATATTCATAATGGGTCCTACGAACATAACATCAATACGCTAACTCTTTTGCGTGGTTTTCAGGGTAAACGTGAGGAATTAGTGCAGTTCCAGAAACTCGTACAAACCTGAACCGTGTCGAATTTCGTCTGCAGCTGATCTGTCGTGTCGCAGATGTCAACAGCTGCAGTCAGTGCGGCCTTGCCCTCATCCAGCCAGGTGGTCAGCTGCTTGCAACCTTGCTGGTACTGCTGGTGCTCAGAGTGCCGTTGCTGCGCTGCATGAACCAGCTCCTCTGCGGCTGCGCACAACTGTGCGTACCGCGCGATGACGGCAGTGAAGTCAGCTGTCTGCTCTGAGAGCAACTCAGCGGCCTGGGCTTGCAGGGAGTCTACCATCTGCTGGTAGCCAACGACGTCTCTGTGCAGGTTCTGTAAATTGCCAGATGTCAGACGGTTAGAAGCTTACAGCAAGGTGCTATTTGCAGTAAATATCGTCCAAGCCAACGTGAAAGAAACTACTTTATTTTCTTTCACTTGTTGAAATATGGTCAGCATGCTATCAGAGGAATTTCACATATTTCTGCCCAAAATATTTGTTGTGGTGTGTTTTATTCATGCCATATTGTTTATATATATGTTACACGAACCAAAATAAATTTCATAATGATGTGATATCAATATACCTCTGCTTCATTGCAGTGCCATATGATCTCCTCAAGGTCAACCTCATCCTTGCGAAGTTCATTGAGTCTTGTCTCCATGTTGCTAATCCAGTCGATGACCTTGTTTGTGTTGACACTGAATCCTGCCAACTGTAGTAGACCCTGCTCTAGAGCCACCTGTACAACAGTAAGTAAATGGTAATGCACGCCAGCGACGTAGATTAAGTTCCATTATGAAATCTCTGGGCCTGTTTAGATCATCTGAAAGTTGGATTTCTCAGACATATAGTAGGGAGGAAGAGATGGTGAGAGGGAAGGAGCAAGAAAGACAAGAAGACAGAGGGAGTGTGCAAGCAAGGGGGGCGAGAGAGATAAAGACTGTCGAATGAGTCACAAAAATTGCGTACTTACTACCCTTGGTGTTCACTGTTCAGAAAAGCAGGGTGTTCACTG